ACTCCAGTCTGGGCGACAGAGTGAGACTCCAACTCAAAAAAAAAAAAAAATGTTGCGGTCCTAAAATATTGCTTTACCAGAGTCTCCTGGTGAGATGGAAATTGGGAGTTCAAAGTAGCCAAATGTGCAATTTGTAGGAGGGAGAGGAAATTGAAAACACTTACCAAAATGTGATCTGTGAATTTCACTTATATTTTCATCCTAGCCCCTCACTGTTTTCAGGTACTTCATTCAGATGTGCCAAGCTGAGAATAGGCCTCCAGTGAAACAGTTAAGTTTGAAATAAGTACTTCTCTTATTCTAACCTCTTTAGGATTTTACAGCTTAGAACTGAAAAAGCTAGTCCAAAGAGGCCTTATTTATAAGATTATAAGGAAGGGAACATCTTATCAGATTTGAGCTTTAACTGTGATGAGTTTGACTCTCATTTCAACCATAAGCTTGAACTTCAACACTGACGGACACCAACATGTACGTGTTATTCCTAAGGGAACAGTGAGGGCCAGGCACCAGCAGAGAATATGAGACTCTTGGAAGCAGATCCCTCTGAAGATGTCTTGGAAATGCGAGGCCAAAGAGATCTGGGCATCCTCTTAAGCCCCAGCAAGGTGATTCGCACATGTGGAAAATAGTCGGGCTGTAAAAGCCCTGAAACAGAAAGCAGATCGGTGGGACCAGTGAGGGAGGGAGGAGGGATGGGCTGCAGGCAGGCTTGTGGTGGTGCAACTTGGTAAATGTACCCAAAAGAAAAATCACTGAATTGTACACTTGTAGTGGATAAATATCACATGTCAAGTATTTCTTAATAACGCTTTTTTTTTTTTTAAAGAATCAGCCATTTTCTGTTCTGTCAGACAGAAAGTTTCAAAGTTTGTAGAGGAGAGGTCTCTGTGCTTTTAAAAAGGGGTTGAAGTGCCTTGACCACATTTTTGTAGCACGGATGTCACGGCACCTGTGAATGTGGGTTGCGTTTAAAAATTCTCGCTCCTTCACCATGAAGGGTCTGTCTTGATGTGATGAGAGTTTGAATGAAGGCAGTGCTGAAGGGGAGAACTTTGAAAAGTGAATTTGGAGGCGTTGTCAATGTTACAGTTTTTAAAAATGAAGTCACCAGTTTCTAGTTTCAGAGGGCTTGTGATTGGCATTGTCGCCAGCCCGGGTGGGGAGGCCAGGAGGGACTTTGGCAGACCTGGAAGGAGGCCGGCCCCTAGTTTCTGGAGAACCAGAGGAATGAAGAGACCTGGAGCAGGACTGATTCCAGGCCCAGCATGGCCACTCCCCGGAGGTCTCTTAATTTCTTCATCTGTCAAAGTGGGTGGAGGGATACCTGTTTTAAAAGTTGTCGAATTAAGTGTGCCCTGTGTGTGCCAAGTGCTATGTCCCACACACTGTAGATGCTAAATATTTATTAGGTCTAAGGCCTTTTGTTGTCCCTGGTTCAGAGAGCCCTGAGTCAAGTGTCCCATGTTAGCTTTTTAATGGCCTTCCTGCTTCAATAAAGTGGCTGTCTCAGTTTGTTCCGGCTGCTGTAACAGGATACCAGGGACTGGATGGCTTATAGACCACCGATTTCCTTCTCACAGTTCTGGAGGCTGAGAAAGCCAAGATAAGGCACTGGGAGGTTCGCTGTCTGTTGGTGGCATCTTCCAGCTGCATCCTCACGTGGCGAGAAGGATGAGGCAGCTCTCTGAGACTTTTTTTTAAGTTTTCAAGCTAAGTTTATTTAGTTTGTATTATTATTATTATTATTTTGAGTTGGAATCTCTCACTCTGTCGCCCAGGCTGGAGTGCAGTTGCATGCTCATGGCCACCACAACCCTGACCTGCTGGGCTAAGGCGATCCTTCTGCCTCAGCCTTCCAAGTAGCTGGAACTACAGGCATGTACCACCACGCCAGCTAATTTTTTGATTTATTGTAGAGATGAGGTCTCACCAAGTTGCCCAGGCTGGTGGGCAGTCCTCTCACCTTTTCCTCTCAAAGTGCTGGAATTATAGGCGTGAGCCACTGTGCCTAGCCTGCAAAGTTTACTTAGAAAGTAAATGAGAGAGAGAGCAAGAAGATTCACCTCCCCAAGGTAGGGGAGGGGGCCAAAGCCAAGAAACATGGCAGCCATACTCAAAAGAACATGTGGACACACCAGAGTTTAACAAAGCATTAGCTCTCTGGGACTCTGATAAAGACAATATTCCCATTCTTGAGGACTCTGTCCACGTGACCCAGTCGCCCCTTAATGCCATCACGTTGGTGATTAGGTTTCAACATACAAATTTGAAGGGGACAGACATCCAGACTGCAGCAGTGGCATTTTAATGGATATCCGCCTCTTGAAAGTCTGCATAGTATAAGTCGGCCTCAGGCTGAGTTTCTGACCCTACACAGGTAAGGCTTCCCCTGGAACCTGATGACCCTGCAAAGGCTGTTCTGCTTCCTGAAGGCCCTTGACAGTGCGGGATGTTTGACTTGTTTGCGCTGGAGTGATTCTGGGGCATTCTAACTTACCTTTTTTCAGCAAACAACCATATTATACAGTACTACGGCATGCTCTATAAATGGCAACCACAGCCAGGAATAGTGTAGCATAAGGTTTTGCCCAGATATTTTGGTCTAAGTAATGAATCATATAGTTACATTCAGTAAAAATACTTGGATAAAGAGTAAAATATAGATTGAATTGGAAGCAGGGAAAAGAAGGCATATTAAACCTGTTTACCCCCAGTAGAAAATGGTCACAGCTGTATTGTAATTTTGAGCCAAAGATAGCATGCTGTAGGCAGGAAGCATAGGAGAGTTCACTTTGAAGTCCAGGATGTTGACCACGGAGCACTGTGTCTGCAGTGGCCGCAGAAACCGCTAGCTACTCCCTCATAGGGTTGAAATAAATTACGGCCAGGCCCGGTGGCTCAGCCTGTTATCCCAGCACTTTGGGAGGCTGAGGCAAGTGGATTGCCTGAGCCCGTGGGTTCGAGACCCGCCCGAGCAGCTTGGCGAGACCTCATCTCTACAATAAATCAAAAGTTAGCCGGGTGTGGTAGTGTGCGCCTGTAGTTCTGGCTCCTTGGAAGGCTGAGGTGGAAGGATCGCCGGAGCCCAGCAGGTCGAGGCTGCGGTGGCCGGGAGCATGCCACTGCACTGCACTCCAGTCTGGGCGACGGAGTGAGACTCCAACTGAAAAAAAAAAGAGGAGATAAATTACAATACAAATATTTAAGAGTTTTGTGGGAAATTGGCTTTAAAATAATGAGTCCCAGGAGCTCTCTCTGGAGGCCATAAATGACAGCACAAATGGGTCTCTGTGACACTCAAATAGGTGCTAACAGAGGACTACTTATTATATGCATTTTTTACCCTTTTCCATTTGCTCCTAGGTTTTTAGAACTTTGGCTGTAAAAATGGGCAGGATTTTCCTTGACCACATCGGAGGGACCCGTCTATTTTCTTGTGCAAACTGTGACACGATCCTGACGAACCGCTCAGAACTCATCTCCACCAGGTTCACGGGCGCCACCGGCAGGGCGTTCCTGTTTAACAAGGTGGGTGAGAAGCCAGTTTCATTCTACGTGGGTGCAGTGGGTGGCCTGGACAGCAGCACTGGAGCACCCCTCAGAGCTTAGACCCCAGCAAGGGTCAGAATGACAGTGGAAGTCTACAGAATTGACTGCCCTGGCTTGTCTTTGTTGGAACTTCAGGAGGGCTTTGCTAGAAGGTGACTTAACCTTAAAAGTTGGAAGAATGCGTTAGAAGAAGCGTGGTCTCCGTTGTCTCAGGAAGTGTTCAGTGTGAGACTTGTAGTGGTTCAGCACTGACTGGAAGAAGGGTCAAGCTCCCCACCTCCCTCTTGCCACATGCCACTGATTTGTTCTCAGAGGGGGGTGGCCACAAGGGGCTTTTCAAACCTGGCAGTGGAAGTGAGCAGGCATCATCTGACTGACTTCTCTTGCCCCACCCCGTCACCCTTCTGACTCCCACAGGGCTGTTCCACAGCCTTGCTGATAGGAAGCGTGGTTCGGATTTGCAGATAGATGAGATCCCAGTCTGCCTGCCTCCAGCTCTGGCTTGCCTTGTATGGGTGTTCTGCCTCCTGGAGTTTAAAGCGAGGTTGTCTCCCCAAGTCTTTAGGTTTAGGAGCATGTCTGGCCTAGGGTCCTGCTCTTCGATCAGGTAACCTCGCAGTGGACACCCCTCTGTTTTGTGTAGGAACAAGCTTTTCTCAGAACTGGCAGTGTGTACCGCTTGGCCTTTGCTTAGGTTCAGAGTAGGCCTTGGCACATAGCAGGCCAGCTGCCTGTTCTGTAAGTAAACCAAATGGCACATGGCTGCACTTGAGTGCTTACCTGTTGTCTGGCCACTTGGTTGCTGCAGTGCAGAGTCAATAGTTGCAGCAACCACCCGTGGTCCTTAAGCCAGGACTGTCTACTCTCCGGCCCTATCCAGGAAAGTCAAGGGTAGGGACTCTTGGTGTTCATAGTTGCTGTGAGTTATCACAGAGGGTCTCCGAACCCACTTCGTTGCCTTTGAACTCACTGACAACTCAGCATTGCAGTGTGTGGTCTGTAGAGGCTTAGTCTAGCTCACTCTGTGTATAAAGTGTGTTTTCAGAAACAGATTGGCACGCTTCTCTGGAATCATGGTGTGCTAGCCTCTTCCACATTGACGGTCTCATTTGCCCCAGCGAGTGACACAGCTGGAGCTGGACCCAAACCTGTGTTCGGCGACTCCGGCTCCAAGACTTGTTCTTCTGCAGCACAGACGTGTGCCTGGTGTGTGTGAGGAGTGTGGCATCGGCTGGCACAGCACCGTGATTGCGTCGAGTGTCAGTGGAGTGCAGCTTCCAGATGTGTGTGCCTGTCCCCGCAGCTTCTAAATTAGGTCACAGGAAGGGTCTGGTGATCTGACTAAAAGAGCAGCTCCTGCCTCTTCTGACATTGCTGTTAGTGTGTCGTCCCTGGTGTTGGGTGCTCATCCTGCCGAGAACTCACATGCCCTTGCCGTTTTGTTTCTCCACATTTCCCAGGTCGTGAACCTGCAGTACAGTGAAGTTCAGGATCGGGTCATGCTCACCGGCCGCCACATGGTCCGAGATGTGAGCTGCAAGAACTGCAATAGCAAGCTGGGCTGGATCTACGAGTTTGCCACCGAAGACAGCCAGCGCTACAAGGAAGGCCGCGTCATCCTGGAGCGGGCGCTCGTGCGTGAGAGTGAGGGCTTTGAGGAGCATGTGCCATCTGACAACTCTTGAAGAGGGAGACAAAAGGCCGCCTTGTCCCAGGTCTCCTTCACGGAAAACAAAACCTGCTTACATACACTGTCACCTTAGCGTCCGTTGGATTCATGGACTGCGGAACCAGAGGTTGTGAGAATCTGAGATGGAACCTTTCTTTTTCTTTTGTTTTTTCTTTTGTATTCTCCATCCAACAGCAGTGTGTAGAGAGAATATTATGCAGATGCCGTTAATTTTTTTTTCCCTCTGTTTACATCTTGAGGCAGAAGAGTCTGTCTGTACTCCCGTGGTGGGCTATGTAAGGAAACACATGGGCTATTCGGGCAAAAGGGTGTTGTGTGTCAATTTCAAAAGGAAAACGTGTCTAGGGCATGGTTTTAAGCCTCCTTGGGCTTCTTGTAAAACTTGTTTTTTTATAATAAACCCAGTTATCTCCCTTGGTTTGCTGGTTTCAGCGGAGAGGCGGGGCCTGTGCCCAGCGCTGAGGCTTGCTGTGGGCTTGGCTTGTGCTGGCTGGTGAGCCTCCCCGCTGGGCCCCGCTCTCATCTGAGGGGACCACGGCACCAGAGCCCACACTTCCTTGTCAGTCTCGACCCAACAACGTCACCTTCCCAGCTATCTGTCACCATGTGATTGTTGATTGGAAACTTTTTCTGAGATGGGTTGTCTTTTTCCATGTAACTTAAGCATAGTAATATAAATAAAGTAATAGTTGGATGTTTTTGGTCCTGTGTTGCTTTTAAACCTTATAAAAGAGCAGAGCATTTGATCAGCAGTTCCCATAGTAGTTAATTGTTTTTTTTCATCTCTGAAGTTAAATTTGCTATGTATGTGGTATTATTCCTTGTTGGAGTGAAAGCATACTGCTTAAAGCCACAGTACTGCATTTAGAAAGCGGCTGCATAGAGTGGCCGTGTGCATCCATGCAGACAGCGTTCTACCTGCACCTGCGTTAGAACAGGGAAGCGAAGCAGCTTTAAAATTACTGCCTTGCCAAGCAGCTCAGCCTTCCCCTCGTTTTACATTGATCTTTTTCAAGTGTGTGGAGCCTAAGAGTACCCTCAGAAGAGCAGCTTTCTTGTTAGCATTTTCCAGATCGCCCTTCAAAAGTTCGGCTGCTGAACCCCAAACAGCCCTTGGTGCCCTCAGATGGAAAGGGATCAGATTTGACTCAGGGTGTTCTTTCAGCCCCAGACATATGACGTTGCAGATCTTAAGATGTAACTGTTTCTTTATCCAGACTACTTCTAGATAATTCTTGTGTTTGCTTCTGGTGGAATAAATGACAGCAAAATTACTTAAATGAATGAATGGATATTTGCACACTCAATTTTAGGTGTTTCGTCTAGAAACAAAATTTGCCTCTTCTGAACTAGTGAGGTATTTCTGTCATTGATATTGGGAGTGGCTTCTGAGTACAGTTAGGTTCTTCTGATTCGCCGTTGGCTCTTGGTTAGAGGCATAGGTGTCTGAGTGGGTACAGCACTGTGTTTGGATAAGTGGACCGACTTCTAAGGGCAGCATCGTTGCCATCCACTGCCACACTGGCCTTGGTGACGGGCCAGCTCCCAGCAGCATGCCTTATGCAGCTCCATGTGCACTGGCTGTCACAATAAAGTCTGTTTTGTCTTGCATTGGTGCAATGTGCTACTTATTTCCACCGACCCTGTCTAGTGATCATCTTAATGTTTTCCTTTGAATGCTCACTTCACACCTCGAAGTGGCTGTGGCTTTCTTCACTTGACAGTGATCGTGGCCTTCTGACTTGTTAACGCCTGTGTCCGCATGGCAACTCTGAATTTGCCAGTATCAACTTCTCTGAGGTTATTTCATCCAGACGCTGACAATTGTAGTGTCTGGGTGAAAAACAGTGTCCTATTGCTCAGATAACTTGCAGGTGACTGGCAGGACAGCCACAAGCTCCCCACGCCTGCCTTTGAAAACAAAACTTTGCAAAAAAGGAAAGTAGCATTGGAAGATCCATCCTGGATTGTTGATGGAAAAACACGCTATTCACTTGAGGTGGGAACTCTGGTAATGACTTAGCTTTGGGGTGGGAGAGTTGACTGGCCAAGCACAGGTGAACTTACTGCATAATAAGTGGGTTCCTGACGGGTACATGGATTTTCCCTTGAGTGAAGATGTGAATTCTTCCCCTTAGGTGACAGTAGCCTGAGTTGTTTTGATTTTTTTTTTTTTTTTTGAGTTGGAGTCTCACTCTGCCGCCCAGGCTGAAGTGCAGTGGCATGGTGCTCATGGTCACTGCAGCCTCGACCTGCTGGGCTCAGGCGATCCTTCCTTCCCAGCCTTCCAAGTAGCTGGAAGCACAGGTGTGCACCACCATGCCCAGCTAATTTTTTATTTATTGTAGAGCTGAGGTCTCGCCTAGTTACCCAGAGTGGTCTGGAACCTCTGGACTTGGGCAGTCCTCTCATCTCCGCCTCCCAAAGTGCTGAGATGACATGCAGGAGCCACCGCACCCTGCCAGTTGTTTTGATCTTAAAAGTGCTTTGATTTAGGGATCCTTAAGTGAAGTTTCTAGGTTAAAAACATGTTAGTAATCCTGGGATGACTTAAGTTACAGTTGTGAGTGGCTACTTTGGGTTTAGAGGGAACTATCAGTACCATCTGTTTCCTAATTTACCTATTCATGAATGTCATGTGGGCTGTTTGTATTGCAGAGTCTGGGCCCCAGCCCAGGCCTAAGTCAGTCAACAGGTAATTTTTGGTGGAGCTGAACTGAGAAACTACCAAATTTCAGGTGTGTGTGATGATTCACTTCCAAGACTTTCATGAAGACGTCTCCATGTAGACAGATGCCCAACGATTGCCTGCGTGCTTACCACTTGCCTCCTACCAGGAGCCCTGGAAATGTTATCTCTGATCTAGGGAAGGTGTGGATTGGGAATGAGGCAAGATTAAGCTGGAAGCGGAATGAGGCCAAGCCCATCGAAACAGGGTAGATACTGGCCTTGCCTGGATGTTAATTGTATGGCTTCTGTATTTCAAATATTGGGCTTGAAACTTCTGTAATAAAGCAAAAAATGTCCATTCCAAAGCGCTGCTAAGCCCTGTGGTCCTGTCACTCCACATGCAGGTGTATACGTCCTCTCCATGTGACCACCAGGAGAATGTCCAGCACACCAACTGTGCCCCCATTCCTCCCCCTGTCCTGGGTGACTCTGAGGTAGAGCCCAAGTTCCTACAGTCACACGTCTGCCGTGGCATTGTGGAATATATATCTGGTCTTTGTTCCCATGTTCTGGTTTATAACCATAAAATCCTGGGAATCACCACAGTGCTGTCCTTTCGTATGCTAATGTTGGCTGATGGTTTCAGGGTGGGGCTGGTCTCCAGACAGACAAAGGCATGCTCTGAGTGCTGGGCCTTTCAGCTTCACACCCTAACCTCAGGCAAGGGACAGGGGTCAAAGGTCTAGTTGATCACCAGTCAGTGCCCGAGAGGTGGGGGTCTGCTCCACCTGTCCTGGTTCCTGGAAGCATGTGCTGTGGTTGGTTACTGAGGGTGAAAGTCACCTGTGGACTTTAGAGATGGAGCCCCCTCCTGGGGAGCTGATTGATTGGAGCATGAGGAATTGCAAGCTCAGCCAGGTGCGGTGGCTCATGCCTGTCACCCCAGTACTTTGGGAGGCAGAGATGAGATGATTGCCTGAGTCCAGGGGTTCAAGATCAGCCTGAGCAACATGGTGAGTCCTTGTCTCTACAATAGATCAAAAAATTAGCTGGACGTGGTTGCGCATGCCTGTGGTTCCAGCTACTAGGAAGGCTGAGGCAGAAGGATTGCCTGAGCCCAGCAGGTGAGGCTGGGGTGGCTGTGAGCGTGCCACTGCACCCCAGCCTGGATGACAAAGAGTGAGACTTCAACTCAAAAAAAAAAAGAAAATGCCTCAGCCCCGTTACCCAGGAGTCCAGGTGGGGATGGGCAGCACTGAGTGACTTGAACCCCGAGGCTGTGGTGTGAAGGAATGTTCCATTTAGGGGTCCAGTGTCATCTACCTCCTAAGGGAGCTTTTCTAAAATGGGTTCTGAGAGTAGCCCAGGTAGGGCAGGATCTTTGGTTTTGAACGCTGCAGGTGGGTGCGTGTTGGTTGACTCTGGACCCACTGCCACTACTGAGCATGACCCAAACATGCAGAAGTCCCTCCTGAGGGAACGGCCCGCCTGGTGGACAGGATAGAAGCCACTGTGAGGCCTGCTCACCCTGAGAAGGGGAAACTCACCGCTCCCCTGTAAATGACGAGTGGAGCACCCAGATGAGGCAGCAGGTGAGAGTCCTGTGCGAGCCACATGGGCCAGGCTTTGTGATGGCCAGGATGTCTGCCCACTGGAGGGGCCCCTTGCCCAGGGTGTGATGATGCTGTGCTCAAGGGAGCCCCATTGTCATGGGCTTGCTGCACAAAACATCTGTAGCTCGTGAGGCACTGTTCAAAGGGTTGCCAAAATCAGAATACCTGTAGTAGTGGTGTGTTACCACCTGATAAAAACTTGTTTGTCACAAATGCTCACAAGTTTGAGAAGTGTGGATAAGAAAAGATACAGATTAATATGGTTTTCCACCTGCCTAAAACGTAGTCTGAAAGTGGATAAACATGACCATTAGATAAACTGAACTGGCTTTAAGGAGTGGAAGAGCCTGGGAAGAGGCACTTGTTTCTGGAAAGACTGCTAGCTGTAAAATCCAAAGACCTGCCTTCCATGCTGACTGACCTACTGGCCGTGTGACTTTGGGAAGTCAGTTAACCGCAGAAGCTTAGTTCTCTCAAGTGTGCATTATAAAATCAAGTCTTGCATGATTCCTGTTAGAAGATAGTGAGATGTAGACCATAAAACCTGTTGACAAGCATTATGCAACTATATAGAATAACTACTCTTTTTTTCCCAGTAATCCTGAACCACCCTTCAAATTTAACCTGAATTCTAGGCTGACCAGAATGTTTTCTAAGTTCATCAAGTCCTTCTTGGAGTTGACAAGTACCACTAAACCTTTCCACAAACCAGGTTTTGAACATGCAGTTTGTGGAAGGTGACCCTCCCGATCGTCACTGTAAGGACTCTTTCATAATCTGCTACAGAGACAATTTGCATTGCTCTCAAAACACTTCAACGCTGCTCTTTTTCTCTTACTATGAAGCAGAAGGGAAGAAAGGGTAAAAAGTTGGCCATTGACTACAATCTCAATGGTAATTAAAAAAACCCACCATTTTTCTTCCCCAAAGTCACTTTGAGATGCACCTGCAAGACTCTTCTCGAGCAACTGTGGACTCATCTTTCTCTGTGTTTATCTGCGCCGGTTGCCCACTACTGCTATGTTGCCATGGTCCAGTCCTGAAAGAGGATCCCCAGGTGGTGGGAGAAATGGTGTTGTCTTAACCCTCTTGCAGTATGCCCTGAAGATGACAAATCATCTCTTGTACAAAGACAAATTCCAGCTGGTAATCAGAACTAAAACACCTGTATCCAGAGCACACGTGAAAGCCCAGCTTTGCAGAAGGCGGTATTTGTGTCCCTGAGGGCTGACCAGAGGTTTTCAGGAACCCCCGGCATGCCCCCTGAGTCAGGAGGGTGGCTTCAGCTGGTCCCCAGGATGTCACGGTCCCACTATCTGCCATGCTGCACCCTTCCCAGCTACTCACACTATCTGGAGCCCTCTGAGAAAATCCTGTGAACTCAAGACGATTCCACCTGTGGTCTGTGCCC